GAATGAAAAGGGAATTAAACTGTCCATGTAAACACTCTCGGTAACATTGTTAACACTGTGCTACATTACAGAGAAATACAAAACTGTACTAATGAACCTTCATTAATATAGGCCTGTATTTTATCTACAAGTGCACGTCACACACTGAGTGAGCCACCTGTTAATGACGCTGTCAGCAAAGCAGTAATGATTGTGCTAAGTGGCTAATGGACATGTAGCTACTTACATGCTTCAGATGATACGTCATGTTTGTAGTCGACCAATGAAGATGAGTTTACATATCACCTTGGGTTCGTCCTTCACCTTCTCAAAATGATCCCACACTTTAGATTTCCTGTCCGACATGTTATTAACTAGCCTGTGTAATAACCACAGGTACCACCTCTGGTAATTAACGTGACTCCTGCCTGACTGCTGAGCGTGGCCACTTCCTGTGTCTGTCCTTTCAAATTAAATTCCCACATGGTCCAGTCATATAGCTTTTGATTTATTTTGACAAGGCACAGCTCCTAATAGAGTTTCATGTTTGCTTTTTTTCTCTGCAACAAAGCATCCAATGAAATCTTGCTGACTAATGACCTTTCTGGTCCACTAACATTTGATCGACTGTTAGGGGGCAGCCCTAGCGCTACCAGAGTTAGAAAAAAAAAAGTGTGCCTGTAAGTGTCTAAATCTGCAGTTCCTTTAATGGCCACTAGGTGCTGGCTCCATGAGAATTTTGACTCCCAATTCCAAATGCAGAGCTTTTCTCAGCATCCAAATTGTGTTATTTTGTTCCACACTATCAGGTCTCAGAGGGGAGCCTGTTTGGTCAAATCGAAATGGTTTCAAGCTATCATGCTCAATTGTGGTGGTTGCATTTTGTTCGTCCCACCTCTGCTCCTCCCGGCTAGTTGCCTAAATAATTTAGGTATTGTGGCTTCAGTAATTTGACAAAGATGGCGGTGGGTGGTGAACCCAACTTAAGCTTCAAAAAGTCCCCTCAGAAAGTTCTGGGTGATGTCACATGCATAATGTTTTTCCACAGTCTGTGTGGCCTTTTGTACGGTATAACTTAATATGCTGAGCATGAGTATGCAAAAGTCATAGCTAGAGCACTAGGGGAAGCCCTGTATGTTTACAGTCCCTGCAATCTGTTTTCATTGACCAATTTGTCAATCTCACCAAATGTAGGTGTGTTTCATCAACATGCTAAGGCTGAAGGAGAATCAGGACCACACCCAGAGAGAGCAGGAGGGACAGAGGGTTACTCTGACCCATACTGCTCAGAAAACATGAGGCTTTGTAGCTGTATGTGCAATGTACACACGCACATGTGTGTGATCACCACCCACATGGATGAGCATTCATCAAGATCCTTAGCATGCTGGTCAGGTGTGCAGGCCACCCAAGTATTCTCTATCTCTCTATCTTTCTCTCTCTCCCTCTCTCCCTCTCTCTCTCACACACACACGCACTCATACACACACACTGAATTTAAAGGACAGGTGTTTTACAACCATTTTTTTTAAATCAGTAGAAGTGGTGTGAAGACCGCTGTAAATCAAAGTGACTGACAGAAGTGATTACCTAAGGATCAGTTTTCAAATCCAAATGACATCCTGTACTCTTCTCATTCCCCCTCGAGCCAGATGTGTATCATCACACTCCCCTCCTTTCTTTTTCTCTCCCTCATTACACACATATTTTCCGTGCCTTTTCTTGGCTCATTGAGATTTCAACTAGTCATCATGGTATTCTTCCTCCAGAGGCCCCGCTTTCTTTCCCTGACCTTGCATAATGAAAAGACTAAAAAGAAAATTTATTTGAGCAAGTCCAACAGTTCATCACGTCTTGTTGCCCTGTGGAAGCAAACAATGCACTTCAAACAGAGGTTGTCAGTGAACATTCAAATCACCCAAAAATCCAAAATCCCTGAGTGCCCCTGAGTAAAGTTGGACAGAATGAAAGCAAAGGTAAAAGTTGTCAGATTTCTGTCATACATATATGCCACGTGCATACATTTTTAGTTCAAATAAACTTTTAAATACTTAGAGATTACATAACGTGAACCACAGAATCTTTGATGATGATGATATATGTATATGTATGAACAGTATATCCTCTGGGCAGCTATGTAACCATATGATCCACATGAGAATTACAGACTGACTGACTTTGAGTGTATATTACGTGTTTCACTGTTACATATTAATGGTATGCTGCTCAGTCAGCCAGTGTACCCAGACGCTTTGCTTGTAACACACCCAAAATGAAGCAGCGTATGCATGTGATCATGTGTAACAGGTTGTCAATGAAGTAATGTACCTAAATACATTACATTTTTGATGTACTTTTCTGCTCCTGCACTGACAGTAATACCTCAACTCCATTTCAGAGGAAAATATTGTTCTTTTTACTCCATTACATTTATTTAACTGCAGGGATTAGATGTTATTTTGCAGATTATTATTCTGCATACAAACATATGACAACTTGATGCACTGTAATAGATTAAAGTACCCAACAGTATATGAAGTATATTGTCTCCCCCTGGACCAACTGCAACATTATCATCTTGCTGACATGTAGATTCATCAGAAAAACAGTTGAATAATATGATAATTTGACACTCCGAAAAGGGCTGGGCCATTTTGCATACTTTAACTTTTACTACTTTAAGTATATTTAGCTGATGATACTTACTTATTGGAGAACACCACCATTCTTACACATCAAAGCCTGTTTACTGGTGTTGTCTAGAACTGCATGTGTGAAAAAAAAGTGTAAAGCCTTTTATAACTCCAGAGGGAGCTGTCGTGAAGTCTCATAAACTGCCTCCAGTGATGTCACTTGAGTCAGCATCAGTTTGAGGTGTGGAGTTAGAAAGAAATGAGCTAACCAGACTTCTGTAGCCCGCTGCTCATCTCTGCTTGAGGCTAGTGACTCAAGAATAAATTTGCCTCGACTAGCACAACATACCTGAATGTCTGGCCGAAATGTTGAGGGTAGTGGAGGAGCCAGAGAGTATTTTTATAGTGTAGTATAAGTACTTTTAAGTAAAGGGTGAAGGATGTTAATGCATCTCCCACCACTTTCCTCAAAACACTGAGATTGTTTAATGTTTAAATTTAGTGTTTAATCTGAATACTTGTTAGAAATCTCAGCAGGTAAACATTTTACAGAAGGCTTGAAGAATAGCGTTTTTTCTTCCAACATGTCCTCACTCTGACCTCGTCGCATATTGATGTTTGGTCATAGACTTTCCACATCCACATATGATGTGATAGGTACCCTAGGTGGTTGTTGACCTTCTGGGTCGCCATGTCAAGTTCTGCACGTTACATGCATTGTCTGATTTCAAAATACATTTCCATTTTCACAGGAAATGTACAGTTTGCATACAGTCTCTTTCACAATAAAAGCACAATGTCAGTACAACCCTACAAATGTATGTTTTTTTCCCTTAAACAACACTTGCACGTGGTTGGGTTTAGGAAAAATGATCAGGCTTTGGCTTGACAATTTTATAGGACGTGAACACTGGCCTCCCAGGTGGGGTTCAGCAGTTGCTGGACCCATCCACCACCAGTCCCCCAGCCCTACTTGGTTAACATTCATTTTGTTCTGCTGTGTCTCCTCCTGACAGTGCCGGGCCCCATCAAACATCATCATGCAGACGTGAAAGGATGGCTTTTTTTCATTGGTGTCTGATGCCAGAAGTTACTGACCAAGTGGCAGTTTTCAACTATGTTTGGAGTGAGACTGGGTTGTTTCTACTTTCCTCTTATTCTCTTCTGACCCACATGTACAGAATCAGATAGATCTTGACACACTGGAGGGGTTCTGGCAGTATTACAGGTTAGTATACAAGATCAGTCTTTGTCTCAACACAACGTTTTGAAGGTCTTGGTTAAGTCCATATTTACTCTGTCTTGTATTGGTCTCAGACAAAGAGAGATTTAATTTCAAGACTGGTCAAAACAACAACTGCAGGATATGACCAAACTGCAGCACAAAAAGGAGTGTTGAATATTATGCTGACTTTAGCTGCACATTGTTTGTTTGTATTTGTTTGCTCATAGAAACCAAAGAAACCTGCCCACACATAAAATTCACCTCTGCCTTGCCTTCTGATTATTTTATCAAGACATTTCTCATAGTACACTTGTACAGACACACATTCAGTATATATGGTAATAAAAGAGGTGAATGAAAAAGAGTCTTCATTTGTTTTCTGTTGGTGTTTTTATGGGAATGTGGAGTTTTCTTTGCATGTTTCACATTTTACTGTAAGTATGTCATGTAGTGGGGGACTCACACTGGTCTGGTCTTGTCTTGACTTGGTCTCAACCTGTCAATCTTGATAATGACTTGGTCTCCATTAAGGTGGTCTTAACTGCAACAATAGGTGTTGGGTTTCAGCCACCTGTGGTGTTTTTATGAAACATGGGTTAAGAGGATGAATGTTAAGCCAATAATCCTCTCAAAAACGAAAATCTAAAAACATTAAAAAAAATACACTTTTATGAAGGCTATGGTGATTGTGAAGAGTCATGTTTATGACAGGTGTAAGGATTTAGTTTGGGTGCATATACTAAAGTATTCAGTGTTTACACTTCACTGGACGTGTAGGATAAAAGTGCTGCAGATGTTGAGGCTCAGACTGGAAACGCCTATGAATCTACTGTAGAGAGCAGTAGAATTAATTCCTCCACAGTCCTCTCAGAGTCCCATTGACTGAGGCGCTCTTCATTTGTCTCTCCTCCTGCCGGCTGGCTGGTCTGCCGCCCGCAGCCTGCTGTACACCGGCACACCTCCCCACTGCGCTGCCGCTGAATAGACCACTGACTGACTCGATTCAGCCTTTAGTTAGATCGCTTGGTCTGGTCCCACCCATATGTGAACAGCTTTTGTCACAAGTGAAAAAGTCCTTTTGAGGTTTTTTTTTTTCGCCTCCCCCTCTCCTCCCCCCTCCCTCCATCCCTCCCTCCTCCTCAGCATCAAGTGCAGCCTGAGCGGAGCGTCCCGGCTGAGACTTTCTCTCACAAGAAGCAATGAGGAGAAGGGAGCCGTCGCCCTGCTGATACCAGGACGTCTGGGATGCAGTAGCGTTTGTTTTCTAGTGGGATCATATTTGTATATTTCTAGGGAAAACAAACAATACATTGCGGATTTGGCGTATCCAACAATCGGATGCAAGCAGGTAGGAAGCCTTTGTCATTTTGCAGTTAAATGAACAATGGAAATGTGCTCTTTATTTCTCTGTTTTTCAAAAATTATTTCATATTTTTCATGTTTTTTTTAATCGATTTCGTCCCGTTTGGGTTGATGCTTCTTCTCTCTCAGGGTGCACATTTTGACTATTTTGGAAGGACTAAATTGGATTTTATAGCCTAAGTGGTGCACAAAATACCTTATTTATGTCTTTGTTTTGAGACTTTTTGACTGTTATTATTAATATTATTATTATTATTATTATTATCATTATTATTGATTTTAAGACGTTATTTAATCCGCGCATTAAGTCTCTTTATAACTAATAGACACATTGTCCCTCTTTTGTCCACATCCAGTTGCGATGCTGTAACAGATGTGGAATTACAGATGTTTTTCCACAATTCATTGGATATCTTATGTAATGATGTGTTTAATGCATTACAATGCTAATGGTGATTTTTGTTATTTTTGGAATAAGGAAACACAGGGCTTAGATTTTTATCAAACATTTTAAATATTTCCAAATGAGACCTTTTTTGGCACACTTTCTTCTTGTTGAGCACTGGTAGTGTCTGGTCCTGTGGTTGTTGTGCCTGAGATGTAGACAGGACAGGTCAAAATGAATGAAGCTATCTTTTTTATTAAACGTGGTGTTGAACTAGAGAATAGATGGTGACCCATGCAGTAAGAGATGGACAACTGCGCCATAGCGCCATCCTTTGGTCACTCCGTCTCCTGGGTGCCTCCTGTGACTTCCTCCACTGAGGGATGGAGAGGGCACAGCTTCTTGTTCAGCTGACTGCAGTGGAAAATTGTTCAAATGAGCGCCGTCTGTGACCAGGAGTCATCATGGCAGCATATCACTTTCCACTCTATGCTGAATAATTGCAGGCTTTTGCCTAGATTTGTGTTATGTCTGAGTCTGGCGGTGGGAGTGTGAAGTTGAACAGAAACTTTAAGGGTCATTTTTGTATTCTCATTTATTGAGACTGTTTTACAGCTCTTGTGGGCTTGTATTTTATTACCGTCTGTTTGGGGCTGGTTAGATGTTGGCCACTGGGTATGTTTTATTGGAAGCTGTGGTTAACTTAATCCAGATAGTCTCCTTTGCAGTGGGACTCAGCTGGATGACAGTGCACTTACTGGCAAACAAAGCTGGAATGAAAAAGGTATTCTTGGTAGTTTCAACTAAAAAGGGAGATTTAGACAGTGTCTCTGCAGTGGATGATGATGCACTGCTATGGTCCACAGGTGATGCTGTACATTCTCCCTCTCAGCTGTGTCTCCTGGGAGCTTTGCCAAACCAGGCACAGTCTCATTTTCACGCTGCACAAACATCTAATTGAAAGGGAATGTGTCTCTGTGGACCCCCTGGCCAAATTTGGCTGTCCTTCCTAAAGGTTTGTTCTCCAGCTGGATTCCCCAAATGTCAGCCTGTCTGTCACACTCCATTTAACCCCCTCAAACAGCCAGAATGAATGCAATCACTGTGGCTTTTCACTCTGGACTCCTGTTCAGAATTAACTGTTGGATTTTCACTCCTGCTATTCAAAGAACAGCATCCAAATCATTTTGTGTTTGGAATCGCCTGTGTGACCTCATCACCACAGGCACACTGACGAAACAAAGCTCTCCTACTCTTGTCGTTAAGTGATGGTCTGCTGAATGTATTAAAACTCGCCCAAATTGTAATTTTCTTTATGAGGTTATCAGGACTATTGGCAGCATCACACTCGTACAGTAGAAGCATGAACCAGCAGGCTGTCTGCAGCCCACGTAGCCTCTGTGTTTGATGTCATCTGTATGCATGACAAGGAGTGGAGTGGAGCTAAGGAAACCAGATATGGTCATTACTGAAGGGGAAGGTTAACCATTGTGGCAAACCCCCAAGCCACTGTCTCAGCCCATTCAGAGGATCAGGGTTCATCCTCTCCTCCTTGCTGCCCGCAGCCTCCAGCAACACTCAGAGGACATAAATCTCCTCTCAACCACACAGCTAATGTATCAACACTGGAGAAATGTTTTATATATTATATACAGAGTGCTGTTTCTTTACGTAACGGCACCAGTCCCTTTCTGCAAACTTGAGTGTTTTGAGGAATGCTCTTTAAAACAACTGGACTTTACTGTGCTGCCACAAGCTGCTGAGCTGTTTACAGCACTGGACCCACTGGATGTCTGTAATATACAGGGCTGCACTGCCTCCCTGTGGTCATACATGGATCTGTGTTTATATTTTCTGGACATGGAGGCATATTTGATAAAGGATATTCTCAGTTCAAGGAATTCTGAGTTTTCCAACTTTTTGGATGTGTTTGAAATGAATTTAAGATTCCAAACAAGATTGACTGTTTGTTATAGAGTGCCATTTGTTCCCCCCCTACTTAGCAGAGTTGATCAGTAGTTAAACTGATATCACAGAATCACAAAGCTCTGTTGGATATGGATGGTTGCTGAACTCACTTAGAGACTAAAGTGAGGGTTGTCACAAGCAGTATTATATTATTAAGGCATTAAGAAAGGTGATGCAATGACACCAGATCTGTTTGAATGGTGATGTGATTGCTTATCTTAAAGGCTAAGAGGCTGATGATAGCACCAGGGGGGAAGCAAGGTGATTACCAAAGTGATTATAATTTATCCTGAGAAAAAATTGTGTCAGCCTGGTAAGATCATCCTGATGATGAGAGCTCAACATTCTGTTTCACTTTCTGTATCAGTCTGGACTCGATGCCACCCCAAACACTTTCAGTGGGAGTACTCACCTTAACAGACAAACTCCTTCAGCCAATCAGTGTGACAAAACATCAGGGAACTTCTTTGTCATCACCAACGGAACCAGTTGATAAATCAAGCTTTTCTCTAATCCAACTGGAAGAACGGCAAAACTTCTTTTCCTCAAAGAAACTGCAAGTGTGTGCTCTTGCTCTTGTTTAATTGCTGTCGTTGACTCTATTTCTGCCACTTAACTTAATGCTGTGTTCATTCTACCCACATTAGAGTTAGTGCTCGTTGCTTTGAGAGCCACCATTACTGTTCTGCAGGCTGCTGCCTGCATTTAACATCAATTACAATGTAGTCCCTGATTGACTGCTTATGTTGTCAACTCTGGTGCAGATCCCTGAATGGCCCCATTTGGATTTTAATTCCTGGAAAGTATTTGGGGCAGCACCAAGTCTCGACTGATACAAAGGGGAAATAGAATGTTGAGCTAACGTCATCAGGATGGTCTCACCAGGCTAAATGTCTGTAGCAGTGTGCGCCATTTCAGCAGTAGGGAGAAATTTTCTTTGAGGGCTTTCTACCAGAAAGAGATCTTTTGGTTAATGTTTGGAAAAAAGTCATAGTTTGGGTTAAAATGAATAGATTTCTATTAGACTGGGCTTTCTTGAAGAAAGCCTATGAGGAAACTTCTACCTTGCGCACCATCCATCCAATAGTTGCTGAGACATTTTACTCAAAACTAAACATGTTAACCACATGGTGGTCCTTGAGTAAATGTAAGGGGATCACATTATTAGGTTTAGGGTTCATCTTCTAGGAACCATGAATGTCTGTAGCAAATTTAATGGCAATCCAGCTTGTACATATGGAGATACTTCACAGTATCAGTGAAAACTTTGACCTGACTCATCACTAGATGAAAACTCACTAGTGATTTGGATTAATCCTCTGGGCACCATGAATATCTGTACCAAATGTTATGCTAATCCATCCAATAGCTGTCCAGACATCTCACTAAAAAAGTAAACATCATGAAGGTGTAAGAGGAGAAGTCAGGGGGTCACTTAGGTTGATCATGAAGAAGAAGTTCTAGGGGGTCCCCAGAATTATGAGGAATAGTTTGTTTTCACTATTTAATTCAGTGAGTTCAATGTGAGGAAGGTTTCCCTTCCTTTACAGTTTTCTCCTCAAGTGTATTTGACTATTAAAGAATCCTGGTCTTAATCATATCTAACAATCAAAGTCAGATAGAGGTCCTTGAAGCAAAATCTTATTAAATGGGAGTCTGTGACCTAATGTGTACCAATTTAGGGGTCCTTTACATATAAAAGGTTGAGAGCCACAATTCTGAGACACATAAATGTACAATATTTCCTGGTAATCCAGCCAATAGATGTTAAGATATTTCATTCTTGACCAGCCAACTGACATTGCCATTCACACAGCCACACATTGCTAATAGCTCTTTGTATCTTTGCACCTCTATTTCAGAGTGTCCCTAAGTCTTCCTTTCTACTCTTTATATTTCAGAGCCAGGCCCAACTTAACAATGGGCCCCATACCCCTGTGTGTGCTGCTCCCGGTGACGGTGCTGGCTGTGGTGGTGGCTGTAGCTGCTGAGGAGAATGCAATCGATGACGAGTATACCTGGCCACAGTGGAAGGTGCCTCTGGTAAGGAAAAGACGCACTGTGCCTCTAAGCAGCCCAAACTTTTCAGCCCATCCTCCACCAGAGCTGAGTGGGACCTGTGGGATTGAGTGTCAGCGTCGCCTTCCAGCCACCACTCTGGATGACCTGGAGCAGTTCCTGTCCTACGAGACAGTTTATGAGAATGGAACGCGCACGTATACCTCAGTTTCTGTGCAGGGCCTCAATGAGGTGACAGCCTGGTCTGGAAATATCTCGTCTAGCTCTCGCCACAAACGAGAGGTGTACGGCACAGATACCCGCTTTACCATCTCTGATAAGCAGTTCTGCACCAAATATCCCTTCTCCACCTCTGTGAAGATCTCCACAGGATGCTCCGGGGTTCTTGTGTCACCTAAACATGTGCTGACCGCTGCCCACTGCATCCATGATGGGAAGGATTATCTAGATGGGGCGCAGAAGCTGCGTGTTGGCGTTCTAAAGGAGAAGTCCAGGCGAGGGAAAGGAGGCAAAGGCAGAGGAGGGCGAGGAAAGGGCAGAAGGAGAAAGGGAGACAAAGATAAAGAGGAAGTGCAGGAAAAGGAAGAGAATGATGGCAAAGGGGAGCGTAGAGGAAAAGGGAAAGGTAGAAAGAGCAGGAGTCGGCGAAGTGTGGAATCAGGGAAACCTTCATTTAGGTGGACCGGTGTCAAGAAGACCCAAGTGCCCAAGGGCTGGTTCAAAGGTGTGGCTGACGGACTGGCTGCAGATTATGACTATGCGGTTTTGGAGCTGAAGAGAGCCCCAAAAGTCAAGCACATGGATCTGGGTGTTATCCCCTCTGTCAAGAAGCTTCCTGCTGGGAGGATCCACTTCTCTGGCTTTGACGATGACCGTCCTGGCAACCTGGTGTACCGGTTCTGCTCCGTCTCTGAGGAGTCCAATGATTTGTTGTACCAGTACTGCGATGCCAAACCAGGCTCCAGTGGCTCTGGGATCTACATCCGCCTCAAAGAGCCAGGAAAGAAGAAGTGGACGAGGAAGATCATTGGGGTATTCTCTGGTCACCAGTGGGTGGATGTAAATGGAAACGGGATGCAGCAGGATTACAACGTGGCAGTGCGGATAACGCCTCTCAAATATGCCCAGATCTGTTACTGGGTCCACGGGGACTCAAGTGAGTGCCAGGTAGCTTAAGACAACACAGGACCCCCCTTAACCACCACCCCTCTCCAATCCCTCAGACCCACCTCTATACAAGGGACACCCCACCTCTCATCACCAGCCAGGGGCCCAACGACTGCCTCTTGTCCTCCTGCCTCCCTGTTACCTCCTGTGCCTCCCAGTGACTCCTGCTACACTGACCTACACACACACAGCCATACAGACTCAGTGTTGACAACAGAAACTTGTCAGCACTTCAAGAGAACTGTGGCTCTTAAACTTTTCTAATTTATTTGCTAAGAAAAAACAACTGAGAAAAAATATGTATTGTATGTTTTACAGATCATTCAGATCTGCAGTTTTGCTTTCTGTTTTGACTCTTTCTTTTTAAAGATTTGACATTTTTGGATACAGTGTTGGAAAGCGTGTATATCTAAATGTTTGTGAGCAAAGCCCCTGGTACATTTGTCTAATATTCCAACTAGGCTTTGTATGGAGACAGTTGCATTTTCGAGAGTTCTCCACCACTGTAAAGCCAAGTGTGTGCATTGGCTTGGACAAAAGACCCAGAAGAAATTAATGTAACTTTTGTTTTACAAATGAACTTCATAGAGATATTGAGATAACTTTTTATAAACATTTTAACTGAAGAAGCTGGTGTTTTGCATTGTGTATATCTAGAACCTTTTTTACAACTACCTTTTTAAAAAGACTGTTCCTCTGTCTAAATAGAGAAAGGGTCCTAATGGACCCTGGATAGATTTTATATTTTCTGATTTGTGAGTCACACTATCTTTCCTCTGTTCTTGCAACGCAGTGAAATGTGGTTTCATTGTTGTGCACATAAATATATCGGTGCTTATCCAGAAGACGTGGTGCTAATTTATGGAACTGTTAACTTTTTATTGAGGGAGGGGAGACTTCTCAGAATATATTTTGATAGCCTAGTACTGTAACTATGTATTTTATGTAAGGCTACAAATTTGGGTTGTGTTAAGATGGGACTTAACCATTTAATGATTTACTTGAGCTGTTGAGATTTTTCTAATTCTAAGGGTTAAATGAGATTACAAGGACAATATTGTTGTATAATAACAAATTCAAATCTGGGATGTGATATTTTTTTATTTTCCATGTTGTTTTTGTTCCAAAAAGTCTTTTTGAATACCAAATGCCTGAGATTAATGATGCAGATTGAAGACTACCAACCATTAAACCAAGATTGCTACTTGTGTGTGTGTGTTTGTGAAAATACAAAAACATTTTTAATGTTACACACTGGTTTGTGGAAGATTGTTATCATGAGACCACCACCGATAAGAGTTCCTGCATCATTTAATTAACTGTTTAAAAATGTTCTGTCTCAACAACAGCTTAATGCATCACCATAAATCAAACCACTGATCAGCATAGCTGGATTATTTTGCAAAAGGACTCCAGGGCAAAAGTTTGTTGTTTGGCCCCTTTTGACACCCCTAACCTTTGACCTGTTTGGCATTATGATGCACTTAAAAAATATTTTCTATATTAACGATAGATCAAATGACTAAGTATGTGTAATGTGAAAGATGCTGTGCACAGTATTGAACTCACAGAGACTAACCATCCAATTCTGCATTTCCTTTCAGCTCTTCTCCTGAGGGGCGGAGATGTTATAAACATTTGGGGCTCAGCCCCAAAACAAGGGGGGTCCAGGGGCCATTACAGCAGCTATGTGCACTATTTTTCAAGTCAATTGAGATAATAGAATACTTAAATGTCTGTACATCATTTGGGCCAAAACATGATAGCTGCCAAGGGAAAAATCCTGTAGAGCCTGCATCATATCTTGTATCTGATTGTTCTCCAAATGTCTTCATCATTCTGAAACCATGGCATGACAGATGTTGATGATGACTAATTTTGATAGGGTGGGAATTGGGCGTAAACAGCATTACTAATCTTAAACCCTATTTCTGTTATTCTATGCTGGATTAGATTTCACAGAATGAATGTTTAGCGGGCAAATCTGCTACATTTGAATCCATGCCTTAATAATCTGGGCTGCTCTATTACAAATCAAGAATCCCCAACTATGCCAAGTATCTGCCAATACTCTGAATTTAGTATTATGCCAACAGAACAACATTAACTCTAATATATACAATTTAATGAATTTTAGTATAGATTTGGGGCTTTTGAGAAAACTTTCAGGGTTGGAGCCCCGGAGGCCACCCACTGCTTCCCCCATCCCTGTCCTCAGCTTATTGTTTTGGTTTTCTGACCCACGTCTTTAATGTTTGGGTTTACTCCCACTACTCTCATCAGCATCATTTTCAACTGCAGGCTGTTTTCATTTAAACAAAAAAGTTCTAGTCAATCCACTGTATGCTACCTGGCCAGTACCAGAGTGCAAACAAAGTTGGCAGCTAGCTGGTGAACATAGTGGAGCATTTAGCAGCTAAAGAGTAAATATTGGACTTCTACACAGCAAGTAAGTAAAATCAACTAAAAATAGGTAAATGTGTACAGGTTGTTGCATACTGAATCAGTGCCATAAAAGAGAAAAAATGTCTAAAGAAAAAAAAACATACTTCGTCACACACCCAGACCCAGAAAGCTATTAGTGCACCTATGCTGGTTTTCTGTGTTAATTCATTTTTGGTAATTTGAGTTAGCACAACTGTTTTTGGGGGAATTTGTATCAATGAATAAAATGAGATATGAATAAATTGAAGTGTAGAAACTACATTTTCATACAGGGCTGAAATGTCAGATCTGCATTAGTCTGTTTTGTACTTCAGTGGTGCAAATTCCCTAACAAATTTGTACTTTCTACCAAAAACCAAGTGACACATGATGCACATGGGGCCCCTGAGGGTCTGGGGGCACAGAGCATTTGTCCACTTTACCAAGTTAGGAATAGGACTTCATGAACAGAGGCTACTGTTGAGGTTATGGACACAAATTCACAACATGGACATTTCTATTATCTTCATGGCATAGAAGAAAAGAAATCCTTCATGGGCAGTTCAATCCGTCATTGAATTTATTGCACCTCAAAGGGCTTACATGCACTGGGGAGGGCCATAGTAAATAAAATAAATTTACAACTAAACAAAAATACAACTTTAATAATTCAGTCATGAAAAATGTTAATCTCCCATTATTCTCTCAGAATCATATCAGATTCTCACCACCAGTCACTTATTCAGTCCACTGAAAAGACAACACACAGAGTAAGTGTTACATCAGTCTGATTTACAGCACGGGACTGGGACCTCTGGTGTTGCACAGCTGTCCAAACGCACATCAACATTTTGATTCCATTGTAAGTCTGCAGGAACAGAGGTGCTTTGTGTTAAGATGCTTTTGGGGACAAGATCATGGTTAGGGTGACAGTGGCCTCCTGTGGATTTCCACACTGTGCACATCACTAACAATAAGTACTGTTCAGCTGACAATGAGCCGCAGGTCAGCAATGATCAAATCAACATCTTAAGCAAAGGTTGTTCAGAGAGCAGTCAAATGTGATTTATTTGTTTTGTTTGTCTGCATTTTCAGGTGACCTTTATTAATTTGCTGTAATTTTAATATTGCCATAGCAGCAGTGCAGGCACACACTTTCATTTTATTCAACAGCACAGAGTGCAACAGGTAAGTGACACGGAACTTAAAGGTACCCTGTGGAGTTTTTTTATCGCTAGTAGCCCTATTAAGCAATATTTTGATAACCAGGCCCCCCATTTTGTATGTAAACGACTTGGGTTTTAAAGTTTTTGAAATAAAGAAGCCTTCTAAAATAGTGCTGTCATGATACTGGAAATTCTAACTTCAATACAACGCCTTGGAAAATATTGATATTTGATACCATTTTTGATACAATGGGGAATTGACTAAAGGGCATAAAATTGAATTTTTTCTTAAAAAATAAATATAACAAGGCTATACCATGATAACAACAACTTTCTTTCTTGGTTAGTTGCAGAGAACAGCAGAATAACTGTAGTAAACATTAACAACAAGAGAGAATGAAAAAGAGCAGCTGTTACTGGTGTATCGATACTGTGGATAACGTATTGAAATAACTTAAATATTCAGAATCAATATGTATCGAAAAATCACTGTTTCAGAATTTATGATGAAGAAAATCCCTACAGATTAAGGCCAAATCTTATTTGGTGGGAAACAATGGGTGTAAACTGAACTCAATAGGGCACCTTTAAAATCTTACTGATTCTGACTTTTTTGAAGTGTCCTTCCTGCTGGATAAACATGCGAGTTGTCTGGTATCCTTTGAAATCCTTTGTCTTGCTTTGATCTGTCTGAACACAGAGTTTGGTACTGCAATGTAATATCTTACTCTAAATACAAAAACAATCATACCGATAATGAAAGCACAGGCAACAGATATATCCACATGGGTCGTGTCAAAACCGCAGCTAGAAACATGTACAGTTATATTGAGAGACAGTTTGAGTTTATTTTTATGACTGAAGGTAACTGAAGCATTTTCTGTGGAAGTAGGTTGTAAGATATGTTCTTTCATAGCAATGCCAGCAAATATCGACAGCCGCCTGGAGGATTATTCTAACAGAAACAGAACGTATAAATAACACTGGACAAAAAGACAAATAAAGAAACATAGAAAAATAAGCCACAAGTAAAAAAAGAAACAAACAAAAAGGATCACTTGCTGGTCTGGTATGATTCAGAAGCCCATGGAAGTTGTTTCTTCATATACAGTATATTAATCCTATAGCGGTATTCATATTTGTTTCCAAATACTTTCAAAAGATGACGGGAAATAGAAGGTTACTCACACAACTTCTTACAATTTCATGTCAGAGTCACATTTATATTTCTCTTCAACAGACATACAGAATAGAGACGTAATCCTCGCCAGCGAAATCTATGTACATCAACGAGGACCTTTCTGTAAACAACACACAACATGGTTCTCCAAAAATCTACCGGGGCTTTGTTTACCACTCTCATCCAATCAGAGTGGGACAAAGAAGAGCTCCTCCCCCTTTGTAAGGAGGCAGGGACAAATATGGGATGGTGGGTGGGGCTTAGGACACCAAAGCACATCCATCATTCAACTCAACACTAGAAAGAAATCTAAACACATACGCCTTCACTTTCTTTCACTTACTTCTGTGGACTTTTTTGTCAGGGTTTTGAGTGATTTTGTTTAGACAAAAGATTAGTACATCTACATAAGGACACGCTTGTTTTTTTTTTTTCTCTTTTTTTCATATATATATTTATATATAATCCGCTATGGTTCACTTTCACAGTTTGTGCTACGACATCACACAGGAGAAGGGTGGGGTGTTGATGGGCGGGATGGAGATAAGAGGCTCTTATAAGGTTGAGTAGCTGAACATCCTGAGATGTTGACAGACACCAGGTAAAAGGTGAGAGGGCCCTGCTCCAGAGAAGAAAGCAGCTGGAAGACAGGAAATAGAGAACATTTCAACATCAGTCAAATAGTTCTTGTGGTTATCATTTTAAATAGTGCAAAGCAGCACTAGTAAGTAGCCAATAATCTATTGAAATCGAAATAATTCTGAGAATATTAATTTTAAACATTCCACTTGAATGCAAAGTGCACCATCTTACACCGGGCACAATGGGACGCATAGTGCAGCTCAACTGTCACTGCTAGTTTCAGACCGGCGCAGTTGTCATTTTCACAACCAGTGCCCACACTGTGTAAATACTTGCACTCATCTGTGGGCCAGTGGGCATGTGGGTCTTAAAATAAGGTGTATTCAGATGCATTGGTAGCATATTGTTATTTTGAGGCAGCAGGAAGTGATTACACCCTTGACCAACAAAAACTTGGTCTAAAGTCAGAATGATTTTCAGAAGCTAAAAGTTTAGTTCTGTTTCCTCTCTAAAGTTTATGACTACAGTTTTTAAATTGCTGCTTAAATGTCCCACAATATTTGCTGCAGTGACATTACTGCTCCTACTGCATTACTCTCAGCAGAAAACCACTCGCTTTTCCAATTTGCCAAATCTGCCATGTAAATAGCGCTGCGCCAGGTGCAGGTGCACCTGGCTTTTAAAGGGAATGAGAGATGACATACTGATTGGTTGGATAAATGTTACTTCCAACACCCACCTGTCATTATGGGACTAAATACGAACACGTTGCCCCTTGCGAATTACTTTGAGCCCAGATTATGCGCCATATAAGTAGTAAAAGTGGAGTTGGACATGCCCTAAATGCACTCATGCC